CTAATCGTCAATCGCTAATTTGTACGACTCAAACGTCCAAAAACTTATTTTACAAAACAAGAGCCAATGACTTTTTTATCTAAAAAAATCAATATTTTTTATTTTTTCGTTTGTCTAAAGTAACTCGAAGAAGCTTAGGACAATTTCCAAAAAAAGATAACATTTTTGAAAGCTTCATATGTATCTCATATACAAGAAAGCTTGATTCTGATTAGTGGATTTCGTTCAAAAACTGAAACATGTACACTCATTTCTGATTGATTGATATCCACAAGCAAGCGAATAGATCTAATTATTTTCTGATGTTGTAAAATTAAGAAATTTAAGTCAAACTTTGTTGGAATATATATTTTTTTCAGTTTCTTCCATTTCATATCTTCTGAAAAAAGTTTTTTTACTCCCATTTTATTAGATACCACCACTGAATAGAAACAAGAGAGTTGCATGTTTGAGTGTGGCAGAGAAAAAACACACAAAATATAGCCTCAGAGAATATTAAACAAAGAGGAGTTTAAGCTATTTTATGAAAAATCTGGAAATTGTTTTAAAAAAAACAGTTCGATAAGTTGAAAAAAAAAATGTTTCAAAAAGTTTTTATATGGGATAAATCATTCTTGAGTTTATAATTGATTGATTTATTGATACAACGTTTCCCTTAAATTAAATTTTTATAGTTGTTTTTCATTTAAAAAACCTTAATAATGATATTAGATGTAGCTGAAAACAGAAATTTGCTTTCAAGGCCAATGTTTGCTCAAATTGTCATAAAAAACTTAAAATTTTGTTGTACGAAAAATTCGAAAACATTTTTTTTCTTACAAAAACAAAAATTCAAGCTCCAGGATGACAATTCTCAAAAAAAAACTTGATTTAAGAGTAAGATTTTTGCATTATAGCAAGAACTTTGATATTTCTCAGATACTTTATCTATATGAAAGAAGTAGAATTGAACACAATGCTTTTTTTGTCTTATTACAAACTTAACTTTTTAGACAAAAAGCCGAAGTCGAATCTAGTCATGATTTTTTAAAAGAAAATTTGAGTGGAAATGCAATAATAAATTATTTGAATTGAAGTTTTCAATTTTTTTACTCTTACCGGGATAAAAATTCAATGAAAACATTTAAATATTTTGTGTAAACTGAAAAAACTGGGACTGCTAATGAGTCTAATTTGATTAAGTTTCACCTTACTTTTTCTAAGAATTTGGTTGATTATACAATTTCGTTCGAGTTTTTGGAAGATTCAGCTATATTTTAGCTTGATATCAACATAGTGTTAGCAAAAATGAGCAAACAATTTAATAACTAGAACACTTCAAAAAACATGTTACACTTAAATTAAGATCAAAATTTATTTTAGTTCAAACTTTTGAAGGAAAAAAGAAAAAGAAAACGCTTTTTATAGCAAAAACGACATAAAATGTTTTTTTTTCAACCATGATTTATATATAATGTTTGTTTCGTTCCACCCTCGAAAAAAAACATAAAGGTATTTCAATTAGACAAAAAGCAAAAAATAATAAGCCAAAACTTGCAGTTTTTGCACAAAATTTCGTTGAAACTCCAAAGCTAATTTCACATATATACAACTCGCGTCTCTTTGATTTCATTCGCCGTATTTATAGATTTTAACCCTGAAAAAAATCTTAGGACGTCGGCTTTGTGTTGAACTTTTTCTTACCAGAATCTTCCAAAAAAATTCGAAAAGAATCTTCCAGCAGTAACTTCAACCCCATTTACACCATTTATGCTTCACTTTGTCCCAAGTCCCAAATGCAGAATCACCTCTAGAGGCTACCAAACATCACCAGTAACAACTTTGATACAGGCTATAATCAGCTTCTTCGATAGCTGTTCAACAGTACGCAGAATTTTTGCAAGTCAAATTCATTTGTATTGATACTAGGTAAAAATCTTCTTCAATAAGGTCGATATTTTCACTTAAACATAAATCTTTTGTTTCTATCTTAACTAGTGTCTCTGTTTGCAATAAATGCAATAAATCATCCTTATCAAATTAAAATTTATAGCTGTTCTAATTATCCACTCTAAAGAAAAATTCTCTACAGGTTGACAAAAAATTTTTTCAAATGAATTGTAGGCCAATAAGACTCTTGCGCACTTCAAAATAAAGCTGGTGCTTGTTAAGCAAACTGATGTTCTTATTTTTTTTCAATAAAATGTTTTTTTTTTGTAGAAAGCAACAATGTTCTTAGTACTTAATTGATTTTAAAAACAAAAGACAGCAAGCAGGGGATTTTGATCGCAAATCTGGTTCTTGATAAAAATTAACAACCTTACAAACAAGTCAGAGATTTGTTCAGATATTTTTCAAGACCTTCGTTTGAGCTGTTGGAGTTCAAACGTGAAGCGAACAGAGCTTATAGTTTTCAAAACAAATGTCTGCGGTACTAGAGATTGTTTTTTTTTCTAAAAAAAACATTGGGGTCTTTTTTCCACTTCTCTGGCCCCATTACTTTAAATTTCATTTTTGAAAAATTTGACCCCAAGAAAGTGAGGATTTTAGCAACTCCAACAACGAAAATCCGCAGATACTACACAGTTCAAACTTTGTTTATTTTTTGATCTGATAGATCATAAACAAATAGTAAATGGTAACAAAGCAAAAGGACGCGTTGTATTGCTGCTCGTGCCAAAAAACTTGAAACCAAAGCTACGTCAAGATTTAAATTGGCTGCATAGAAATAATTTTGCAGGCCACAAATATCAATTAGATTGATTATTTTGAGACAACTGTTATTGTCCGTAGCACTGCTCAGAAACAAAGATTAATCATTCAGTTCTAACCTGAGTGAAGCATGAAACATCATAAATAACACAAAAACTTCAAAACAGAAGAGCCAGCAGAACTTCTTTCCAATAAATTTTTGTTTGGATAAGAAAGAATGCAGGTATCCTAAACTTTAAGTTGTTATCACTAGGCTATATCTGGACCAAAAACCGAATTTTCTTTTTTTTCCTCTTTTTTTTTCACAAAAAAAATAAAAGTTTTTAATTCTTTTTTGTCACTACTGTGAAATGCAAAAGAATTCCTTAATCTTAAAGCAAAATAAACCACCAGGACCGCCTACTTTTTCAGCATGGATTCATACACTAGTCAAACAGTTGGAGTCGAAAATTAACATTTGGTATTTAGATGACGGAAATTTAGCCGACGACAATAAGGTAGTACTTCGGGACCTTTAAAACATTCTGAAATCGGAACAAACTTACGGCCTGAGCTTACACACTGAGACGTGCGAATTTTGTTTTTTGAGACCGACTACGAGTACACAGTATAACTCAATCTTAACACAATTTCGAAAAAATATGCCCCAAAATACAAATAAAAACAAAAGAAAAACTCCTCATTTTAATGTCTCCAAATGGCGAACTTTGCCGAAAAAAATTGCTCGACGAAAAATTTAAAGAGCTTGAAAAAATCTCGGACGTCATTGACAAACTAGACGCGCATTATGGTTTTTACTTCCTGAAAAATTGCTTTAGCATGCCAAAACTCCCATATTTTTTGCGTACGAGCCCTTGTCTTTTGCAAAATGGTGTTTTGGAACGCTACGACAATTTACTAAGAAATTCGTTATGCAAGGTCACTAACGTGAAAATGGATTATAACCAGTTGTTACAAGCAGTTCTCCCGGCAGCCAAAGGTGGCTTGGGCGTTTATTCCGCTCGTCTACTCGCTTTACCCGCTTTCTTAGCCTCAGCAGTAGGAGCAAAAGATGCCTTGAGCGAAATCTTTAGTTTGGAGCATGTGGATGGAACCCATGATGATGCGCTTAAACGGTGGTTTGAACTTGGAAAAATTGAAAGGGCTCCGGAAATTGAAATCCAAAAAAATTGGACGGAGCCAATTTTTGACAGCGAAATTGCAGACTTGATTTTACGACTCGAACCAACGGACGTAAAAAAATTCAACGCTTTCCAAGATAGATTTGGCTTCCATTGGTTGAACGTCATCCCGTGCAAAAATTTAAGGTTAAGACTGTCAAACCAACAACTCAGAATTGCGATAGGACTTCGATTAGGTTCAAAAATATGCGAACGGCATAAATGCGTCTGCGGAAAAGACGTTACCGAGGATGGTTGGCATGGTCTTTCTTGCCTCAAAAGTGCAGGGAGATTCTCTAGGCATTCAAACCTGAATGCCCTTATAAAGCAGAGTTAATCTTCTTCTCACATTCCGTCTGTTTTAGAACCACTGCGCCTCTACAGGACCGATCAGAAGCGACCAGATGGTTTGACGCTCGTTTCATGGGCTGTTAGTAAGCTGCTCTTGTGGGATTTAACGGTAGTAGACTCCTTAGCTCCTTAGTAGGATAAGTGCTGGATCTGTTTGTAACCCTGGTACGGCTGAAGCGGAAGAGCGAAAAAATGACAAGTATAAAGACTTAGCAGCTGATGGATATATTTTTAAACCAATAGCTTTTGAAATTCAGAGTGCCGCTGGCCCTAGCACAGATTTTTCTGAATAAGCTTTGTAAGATTTTGTGCACGTGTACCGAAGAATCCAGGGCAGGTAGTTTTCTTAAGCAGAGAATCTCCCTGGCGATACAGATTGCGAACGCCGCTTGCGTACTCGGAGCAATAAATGACAAAATAACTTTCGAAGAAATTTTTTATTTGTAACACTTGTATATTATATTTTCTCGTGTCGAGTTGCGTGTTCTTATTGAAGAAACGTAACCCGTTTCGATTTTAATTGAAAAGGACTTAAACACTTGTCATCTTCTTTTATTATTATCTCTTCCATATCTAAAAAATTCCAAGGATTTTGACTGGAATACGTGGTGAAGGGACTCCTGACTGTAACCTCGTTTACTATGATACTTTTGACCTTCTGATTACCGTTTAAAAAAATCCTGGATTTGCGCTTAATTTTGTCCTCTAGTGTATCATTGATGAAGAATTTACTGTGTCAACAAGCTATTCTTGCAACGTTTTTCTGACAGTTCCAAATATGTTTTTTTTTGCGTTTCCAGGTAGCAAATTACCATGAATGGTCAACAAAGTCAACTAAATTTATATTTGATTGCATCCAATTTGTATAGCTGATAGTTGATTATGATGGCCTCACCGACATTTCAAAAGAATGGTGCATATGCTGGAAATGTCAGTAATCCTCATGCACCAAGGAAGCCAGTGCCTACTCTTGTATTCCGACAGAAGTCATCACGGCCCCTCTTGCTGAACAGTCAGTCCTTAGCTTCTAATTTTAAAGCTGTTACATCAGGAGATAGATCTTCAGCTAACAGGTGATTATACAAAATACTTTTAATTATGAGATCATACTTTTCAAGTAATATGGCTACCATTGAAAGCGCATCTAGTTAAATTGAGTCAATAATTGAAAGTTTACTTCTGATTATTTTTTGCAAAAAAGTGCGAAAATAAGCCTATCAATGCTATTAAAAGAAATTTGCCCATGTACTTTCAAACAAAAGAGACTTGTCATTGGTAATTCCATTGGGTGCCTCGTTATCTTTTAAAATATGTGCTCGAGTAGGTTCAGAAGATAAACCTCCGAATCCAGGACCTTGGACTAAATACAAATCTACAAAGCAATCACAAATTTTACACTTTATTTGTCGCTGTAATAAGAGAACAGGACTTAAAAATTTTGGGCAAAAAATTCGGTGTCGATGATAACAATTGTGGTTTCAGTAAAGCTTGTTATCATGAACTAGAATCCCAAAAACAGCATTGCTTACAGATCTGAGTAATTGACCTTGCTTTATTATCGAAGGCTTGTTCTCATATAGGCTAGATGTTTAGCATGTGCAGTCAAAGCACAAGGCCTAGGGTTCGAGTACCGACTCGTGAGGTTATTATTTTTACTCCCTTGAATTACTTTTAAAGTTTCTTCCAGCGCCTTGGTAATGTTTTTAAAAAAAGTTAATTCATTAAGAAATTTCATTAAGTATTTGGGTTTTTAAGCGTTTTTGTTCATGTAAAAAATTGTTGTCGCATATGCTTAATTTACTATTTCTATCAGATATGTCTAGAATATATGTGTTCATTCATATCATCTGATCCTACCATGGACAAAAAACGAAGTAATAAAAACCATTCATTTTTTCAAAAATATACATGTTCAAAAATGTCGGAATTGTCTGTGCTATTTGCACAGCATACTTGCTTTGCATTCAACCCACTCATTGAGTCTAATTGATTACAAGTTCGTTTGTGAGTCTAATCGATCCTGTTGATTCGGGTTGTACGATCTCCTGAGGATCAAAATCACTTGAAACATGCTCCAACTGTTATCCAAGACGATGAGAACAGCCATGACCGAGTGGGTAAGACGCGTGGCCTTCGCCACAAAGGTCTGGGATTTGAATTCCCGCTTCGGTCATGTTTGGAGGGGTCCCAGTGGCATCCACGTGCCCAAGGTTGGAATTGATGCGGCAAAATGGATGACATCTCTCTCCACGCGGAGTAAAAGGTCCAAGGTTGAAATGTGGGAGCTGAGCCGGGGATTAATAATAAAAAACGAGATTATTCGCGGCAATTAACGCGAATCTCCTTTTTCAAGATCGTGATCGAATGAAGGCGTCCAATCCAGTAAACACCAGTCAAACCATGAGTGTCGTCGCTAAAGTGCGGTCAATCTCACTCCCTGAATTCGACAGGAGATACGAGTTGTGTTTGTCATTCATGGACCAATTAAAGACGTCCACAACAACACGAAGCTGTCGAAAGGCCAGAATTTTGTGTACATCAAGAGATGCGTAAAGTGGTCAGCAGAACGACTCACCAGAATTTTCCCCACCACTGAGGATAACTATGGCGTGGCCCGACGACTGCTGGAGGAACTAACAAGAATGATCGTCTCATCTCAAGGACGCTTCTTAGGTCATAAGTTTTCGATTGTTCAAGAAAGAGAATGTCATACAACTTAGAATCTTGTATTCCACGTTTAATGAAGCCAACCAATCGATATCAGCCATGAGTTGGGACGTTGACATTAATGTGTGGCATCATCTCTTATCCTCAAAGATAGAAACAGAGTCACACAGAAGGCATGGGCGCTTCATAATCCAGGGCCAGTATGTCCTTCGTTACGGGGTTTGCTAGATGTTTTGGTTAATCGGGTTAGATCTCTGAAGGGTTTCGCGTCCAGTGTGTCCAGACCTCAGCGAGAGGTCAAAGAACTCTTTCTTGCTTATAAAAGACGTGAACCACCATAACTTCCGAAGTTAAACGTCAAAGCATGTCAGCAGTATCATCGCGTTTATAGTTGCCAAATGTTTCGAAATGCAAATGTGCCACAAAGGAGTTAAGTCTTAAAGAAGCTCCAGCTTTGTTTCAGCAGTCTACTTGAGTCGGTTCTACCTCAACGAACAGAATTGTGCCAGGAATTGAGAGGCTCGGAAACAGTATGTGAATTTCTTCGAAGAGATGATCAAGACTGGTCACCTGGAAGAGGTACCGTAGCAGGACTCCTTCCTTACAGCCGGAAGATACGTGATGCCTCATCATGTACTTTGGAAGCGGGCCTCCTCGACAACGGATAGTCGTGCAGTCTTCAACGCTTCGGCGCCGGCATTTCACAGTCGTAAGCAACCTGTTCCAGACCGGACTTTTTCCAAATCTTGACACGGTTGCGATTCTTCGGGATTACCTTGACTGAGGACATCAGCAAGATGTATCGGCTTCCAAGGATCGCAGCGTTCATCAGCATTTCTGGAGGTACACTCCTGAGGACCCTTCCAAGAAGTGGAAACTACCCGCGTCATCTACGGGGTATCCTCCAACTCCTAGCAAGCAATCCGTGGACATCGAGACACTGCTAATGTTGCCGCATCCGATTTCATGAAGCCAGCCGATTTCATCTTTCCTGTAGAAGCCAGAACAGTCGAAGATGCTTGTCGTCTCCCCAAAGGAATATAGCAGTACATAAGCATCTGCAGGCATGCACATTCGCATAGGGTCCAGCTCGAGCAGCGATGTTATGATGGAGATCCCTGCTGATCATGATAGAGATCCCGTTCTACGACATTGGCCAGACACATAAAAACGTTTGGTTAAGTGTAGATCCAAGGCCGACACATTCAGGTGCCGGTTCTCGACTATTTGAAGCTCCACAGGATGCTCGCAAGATCAAGAATATATTCCAGGGGTTTCTAGAAAGAGTATAGAGCCAAAACTCCTCAAAGCAGTTTCGTATCCAGATCCTCTGATAAAAAAGCTAGAAGAGCCAGATCGCATTTTTTCTTCCGAGTTGCTGTCTTCCGAGTTGCTGTCTGAAAATTGAGTTACTATAAAGTGGATCACTTTTAGGAGCAGTGTTGTTGTTTTGACATCTTACCTCTAAAAAGTTTGTCAAACCTTGTTGATTCCGCATGCAACTTTTGGATGAGTGAAAAAAAAACACGATAGCATTGAAATTGGATACAAAAAAAATTGCAAATTGAGTGAAGCGGACAGGTGCAAGTTAACTTCTGCTTCATCTAAGGAGCGTAATTCGCTTTTTAAAATTTTCCTGTTATTCGATAACGTGTTTATCACCTGGTGCTTACATGGCAAGTATATGCGAAGTTGTGAGTCGTGGGCAGTTTCAGTGGTTAAGTAATGTATTTATGAAATAGCGGTATCTGGTTTGAAATTCCGTGTCAAGTTTTCTTGAAATTTTAGTGCGCCTATCTGCTGATTTTTTTTGCTTTTCTATGCGAAGAAATGCAGCTTTGCCTCTGTGTAACGATTGCTTTCTGTAGGTTCAAAAACATGTCGTCGAGAAACGTGCCGGTGAAAAGTCAGTATGCATCAGCTGTGGCGACGCAGCCAGTTGTTCACACGGATTCTGCTTCCTACACACCACTTGCTCAGTACTTCACATTCACCGGGCGTCTCAACCCAGTAAGAGATGGCAAATCAGGGAAAGAGGTGGAAGGGGGGACAAATGACGTCATCAATAAGTTGGAGAGTGTTTCCTACAAGCTGAAGTTGAATCAGGATTTACAGAATGGTGATGCACACAGAGACGAGCACTCAAAGGATGTCAACGTTGAAGGTTCAATGATACACAATGAGTTGTTCTTTTTCAAAAATGGAAAAAAAACAAGTAGTATAGCTAGCTGATAAAATAATAACAAATATGAGCCCAGTTGGCTGACTATTAAATGGTGTCTTCATTGTTTAAGGTTTTACTCTAAAGTGGGGTTTCTGACTAAATTTTATTCAAATTCACGTTACTGATAAAACAAGGTTCGGATGGTGATTTTTGCCAGTAGAATTCAAGAACTCATTGGAAGCGTTGTTTGACCTTCAAGATTTCTATCGATCCAAGCAATGTTATTTTCAGAAGATCTAAAAAACCATACAAATGGCTTCATCGAAGAGACTGATACACAGAAGACATTCAAAAGCGAAGAGCAGCAGTGTTTCCATTACTTTGAGCCCCATTTACATGCAGGTATACTATTGGCAAAAACTTCAAACAAACCTAATGAAGTAAGAAAATCAACTTACTTATTTCCAAAAAAAATTGCTTGCTAATTAAAAAAAATTTATGTTCAAGGTAGTGTGAATTTTCAATTTTGCGTGCACAATTGACGAATTGATATTTTTTGATTAGTTTTGTGTGTTCATTGTTCGGTTCTTTTTTTAAGGGAAAAACAACAAGCACGGCAGAGCAGAAGAAACTCAGCCGAGAATTGGAGGGGCAAATGAGAACGGGGTGGTGGAGTTTGTAGAATGGGACAGCAGATATGCAGGGGGTGACAATCAGCTGCTAAAGGTCGGCAAAGGTCAACGACCCCAGAGTGCGGCAGTGTCATACGCTCTACATCGACAGGTAATTGAGGTTATTAAATGCGAAAATTTGTTTGCTGGATAACCATAGTACGATATACTTGCCATAAAAGCTACTCCCCTTTGCGTGTGACAAATCGATTAATCTGGCGATTAGCAAGGGTATTTTGAAAAGTATATTGTTAATATCAACATTTTTGGTCTCATTTTTGGTTAGAATTTAGCTTCCTATGAATTGAATGCGATGTGTTCAGATTTCAGAATGCTGTAGGAGTGTTAAGATTCAGTTTATTGGCGAAAAGATGACTTTTTTTATTAGAGGGAGCTCGGAAAGTTAAGAATCATATTGACTTTTCCAATCTAAGCTTCTGGCAAGCTTAAACTTCATCTATTATTTTTAATTAATGGCTCTATTTTTGCGACAAAATCAATATTTTTACTGGAGTTAATAATGTGCTTCTATATAAGAGTCCACGAGAAGAGCAGAATTTGAGTGTTTATTTGGACGGATTGCGTGGGAAAAAGAGACCACCTCCACCTGATAACGTGTCTGTCGACGATGGCGCCTGCAGGTACAAATACAGTGTCAAATCTAAACAAGAGAGCAGGCGTCCTCACTTCGTTAATCTGCATTCTGCACGAATTAACAATGATCGATCTTTGTCGGCGTCCGTTAATAGAGAGAGGAGATGCGCTCGTTTGAATAATCAATTGGTTTGTAAAAAGCGCAGCATTTAATTCGACATCTTTGCAGCATCTTCATTCATTGCACGTAAAATCAAAGTTTGCACCGAACTTTTTTCGTGAAAGCCATTTCGCATGCGATATTTTTGTCCGACCACTCTAGACAGTGGCACGAATTTTTTTTAGACAAAATTAGGTACCCCAAATATGCTCCGTTAGGCATTGAGTGAGTTATCACATTGAAGCAATTTTAGTTGAGATGCGGAATCCAAAAATGTCTTTAAAGAAAGTCAGCGTTTTTTCATGTTTACTTGCGTTCATTACTTTTTTCCAATATTCAGTTGGCTGTTTTTTTTCTAGAAAAAGTATTAAAATGCTCTAATAACTTCAGAAGTGCATTGATAACTTTTAATGCATTTATGGATGCACTATGGCATATATGTCCTCTTTCAGTTCAACTCAACATTTCATAGCATCTGTTCTCTGCTTTATTTGTGGCTATTGTTTTTCATTTTTTAAGTGACAAGGGCACAATTGGGAAGGACGCGAGACTACTATGCACTGTTCAGAGATTCAATACGGCGCTTAGCACAAGTGATTTTTATATTTGATGGCATTTTTGCTGCATAGCCTTGGCACGGTATTATCATCTGTAGCTGCATCTTTTGTGGCTAGTGTTAACTGACGTTTAAGAGCCCGTAGCACAGATGCGAGGACGTGAGAATCGAGGTAGTTTTTTTCGCAAATCTCGAGGTAACCAGTTGCAGTCCGACAACAAACGTTTTTTGGCGTGTTTGCGAAGCGCAGCGTCTCGCCTATGTAGTATATTAAGGCACAGTACTCATTTTGTCCGTTTAGGGTGAATATTACGTCCATGCTTGGGACGACAAGGTAGTGGGTTCAATTCCGCCGAGCACCCAGTAATAATGAACGGCGTGATATATCACCTTTTCAGATCGTGTGGTTTTTAATTTTTATTTGTGCAAAAAGTTTTTGAATTTGTTTCCACTGAAGTTTAATTTTTTGCCGTTTGACTATTGATTTGAGGTCAATGAACGTAGTGAAAACTCTTTTCTAGGTTGTTATGTTTTTTTTTACGCTAACATGTTATATTTTGCGGTGTGACTTTTGACTAATATTTGGTGGCATTTTTGCGGCATAACATTGATAATTTATGGCATCTGTTGCTGCTTTATTAGTGGTTAGTTTTAGTTACTTTCAAGGATCCGTGGCGCAGATGCGAGGAAATGAGACTCCTAATTTCAAGGTCGGAAAACACATCAAGTGTTCTGTTAATCAAGGTTTTCACCTTTTTTTTGTCCAGCAAAAAGATGGACAACGTTTCCGAAAATTTATTAGGAGTCAATAAACGCAGTGAAGACTCTAAGATAGGTCGTGATGATTTTCTTTTGTTTTTATTTCATCAGGAAATGTCCGCCCTCAAATTTGTTTTTTCGCCGCTTGACTTTTGATTCCTTTTTAAGATAAGTTCAATTCTTTTGTTGAAAGGAAGGAAACTCCACTATCGAGCAACGAAAAAGTTTGACTTCTAGTTTCGAAAACGGTATTTAATCATCAGATTTTCGAGCGAAAAAAAACTTTTCTTTTGATCCAGTTTTTTTTCAAGTTGGGTTAATTTTATCAAAAAGTGTCAATCATAAATTGTTCTAAAAGATCAAAAAGTTTTAGCTCATTTTTTTCATTGGAATTCGAAATTGGAGGTATTTCAAAAAAACAAGTCCGTGTTTTGTTTGCGTTAACTTTCGTTGAGTACTCTTTTCCAACTGTCAGTTGGCTGTTGCAAAATTTTAAAAAATGAGCGGAACTTGCAATCTAGTCGGAGCATTCTGTGCTTGTCGTACGGAAATGTGGTCTTCATTGGCAGAATTATTTATATCGGTTGAGTCTACTTAAATGGGAATTGGTCAGTGTCCGAGAATTTTAGTTCACGGACTTAGTTCAATGAATGGTGTCTTCGTTCGCACAATTCTAATTTCTTACATTGAGTGAACTTGTAAGTGCTGAGTAAGTAGAAAATAGAAAGCTCTTTTCCATTCCGGTCAGGAGACTTTTTTTCTATTTGAAATGTTTTATTGAATTTTTTTTTTACTGGCTTGTTTCCTCGGTATTCTTCCCAAATCTTGGACTTTTATTCTGACTTGAACAATGTTATATGGACTCTTCTGTAGGTCGTGATGATTTAGTGTTTTTTTTTCTCAAATTTAATTTCTCGCGTTTGAACGGTCGATTTTTTCATTTGTGAGAGCAAGTGATGTATATTCGGGAACTGGATTTTTTTCCCGTAAACAAATTTTCTTTTAAGTTCGTAAACTGCTCAGGCTTGCTCAATTTCTGGAAATTTCAAATTAAATTTTTTCTTGGTGCGTTTCAGGTTGTAATTCATTTTTTCGAAAATGTTAATTGAAAAAACATGTTGATTTTTCTCGAACTTTTGGTTTTCGTCATAATATCTGTCGGTTGATTCTCCGTTTTTTTCCTAATGCAATTTATGCTGTCTAGTGCGCTTTTCGAGCAGTTTCTTTTCAAAATAAGTTTTGCTTGTTTTATTTTTGATTCAAACAGTTTTTTTTGTAATTGAAAATTGTTCTGTAGTTCTAAATTTTCCAGCTCTGATTATGAATAATTTTAATTTTTTTTTATGTTTTAATTTTATAGCTTAAATTTTTTATGGCTTAAGTTTCGTTTGTTTTCGGCTTACCGAGGGTTCACACAAGTTTTTTTGTCTTGGTTGCCGCTCGATCATTGATTCTCAATCCTTGCAGAGGCTGTTTTTGAGCTTCATCCGAGTCAAAGTTATGGAATTTTGGTTTGAAACTTTTTTCGATTTTTCTAGTAATGTTTTTTTCAGAATATCAACTTTTTCTATTGAACATGTTGTAACACAATGTTATAATTGTATCGCAAGTGTTGCGAACCTTCGGTTCGTCTCTGTGTTTAATTTTGAGTTCATGTTTTGAGTCCAATTGAAATTCATCTGCCGAAAGTAGCACGCTCCTAAAACGAACGTGGAAACGGCGCGAAAAAACGTGTTAACTTTTAGTTTCGAAAGTAAAATTTAATTTGGTTTCCAGGCGGAACAACAATTTTACTTATTGATCAAGTTTTTTGAAATTAGGTTATCATTATTGTTCATAGAGCTTTAAGGGCTTTTATATGTCTTTGAAAATTCAAAAGTTCGAGTTTTCCCAAAACAAATCAGTTTTTTTTTGTTGTTTCCTTGCCTTTATTCTTTTCTTACTGTCACTTGGGTATGTTTTTGAGTTTTCTCAGCGGAAAAACTCGCTTTCATGTTATAAAAAAAGTTTCAATAATATTTTTTGAGCTTTCAATGCATTTAATTTTCCTTTATACATTCGAGAATTGAAGTTTTTAAGAGTCGTTTTTTTTTCAGGAAAGTGTTTAAGTTTAATCAGGCTCAAATTTACCGTTTCGTGATTTGTCTTTTGGTTTTTTGAAATTTTAGTTCATTTTTTGAAATTTTAGTCAAATTTTAGTTTGTTAAAAGGAAGGCAAACTCCACTATCGAACAGCAAAAGTGTAAAGGTCACGAAAAACGTGATCGATTGCTAGTTTCGAAAATGGAGTTTAATTATTGGAGTTATCAGCGAAACACAAATTTTTCTGTTGATCCATTTTTTTTTCAAATTGGCTTCATGTTATAAAAAAAGTCAATCCTTTTTTGTTCTAGAAATTCAAAGAGTTTTATGGCCATCTATTTTTTTCTTGGAAAGTGTCTCAAAAAACAAGTCTGTTTTTTTTTCTGTTAACTTCTGTTTATTGACTCATTACTTTTTTTCAACAGTCTATTGGCTATGTTTTTGAAAAAAATTGAATTTTGTTTTCTATTGTGCGTTCATTGACACTTTTCGAAAAGTCTAGTGGCTCTGTATACAGTGATTGAAATTCAATTTGATTAATTTTAATAGTTTGCATTTATACCGTTTGTGTATCATGAATTTTATTTTTGTGCTTTAAAGGCTGTGAGTTTACCTTGTTTTCATCAATATAGTTGCCTCATAAGAGCTTTTGAAAGGCGACAAATATTTTATTGCGGTTGTGCTTTATGCATAGAAACTTGGAATCTCAAAACTTTCGTGGATCAAATTTTTCGAGACAATCTTTGTTCGGCTGAACGGTTGCGTGCACAAATATTGCCTGCTTAGTTACTGCTTGATTAAGAGTAATGAACGAAGTGAATAGTCTTATATAGGTACTGGTGATTTTTTGCTGGCTTTTCGGGAAAAAATTTGTTCACGCTCAATTTTGATTTTTCGAGGTTTTAATTTTGATTTTTTTGTTCGCTTCATTTTTTTGTTAAAAAGAAGGCCAACTATCGAACAATAAAAATCTAAAGGTCACGAAAAACGTGATCAATTTCTGATTTCAAAAATGGAAATTAATTATCAGATTTCCCAGTGAAATAAAAGTTTTACCTATCGATCCATTTTTCTCAAATTGGGTTAATTTTATCAAAAAGGTGGCAATCATAAATTGTTCTTCAACGTCAAAGAGCTTTGAGGCCATCTATGTTTTCTTCTAAATTCAAAAGTTGAATGTTTGTCAAAAAACAAGTCAGTTTTTTGGAGTTACCCTGCGTTTATTACTCTTTTCCAAATGTCAGTTGGCTATGTTAAATTTTGTTTCAATACTAATATTACACTGGCAATAATGTTTCGCGACATCGCTTTCGTCAAATTGAACTTTCGTTCTTTTGTGCGACATTCAAATTTTTCAATTCAGTGGCTCTCGTCTTAATTTAATTCGGATTTTCGCTGTGCTTTTTAGTGTGATATCGCAAGTGGCGTGAAGCTCTCTTTCACCTCTGTTCAAATTAGGTTATTTTTTGAATTAATCAGATATTCATATAATTATCTTAAAATCAAAGAGAACTGGCGATTCGAAGTGTTCTACGAAAGTTGATAAAACTCCATGAAAATTAGGCCTTGTTTCTAATTTGTCGAGCGCAGTAACTTGTTTCTGATTATATGTTGGCTAGTTTTTTTTTCGTTTAGACTCCAGCGAAGCCTGATCCTCCAAAACGACCAAGCAGCAGCTGCAGTTCAGCCATGAAGACGAAACCAGTTGCTGCTGTTGTGAACTCTTCGCCCAACCCCTTTCTTCGACCAGTGCCAATCATGCCCCCTCCTAGTTCACACGACGGGGTCTTCTCCAGCCACTCAACAGAATCGAGTGTTGCTGCTGGCCAGAATGGAACAACGAAAGTAGTGCAAAATGGCACTTTGAAGTCTTCAAACTTCGCCAGAGGAGTTTCAGTGTTCAACAGTCGGTAAGTTTCCGGTGTGCAATAACAAAAAAGTCAAAATCTCCAGTTAGATTTTGGCAAATAGTTTTTCTCAGTCATTCCAGGTCCGCAGTACTTTCTGCAATACGTTGCCGGCGTATTTTTTTTAGTGCTTTTATGCTTGGTTCATTGGGCGCTATGTTCAAGTGGAAAAAAAAACGAAGTGATTTTTATTTACATAGATTGTGATGATTTTTTAAAACTTTTTTAGGTAAAGTCTTAAGTTTATTCACGTTCAAATTTGAATTTTGATTTCCTTTTCAATTCAGTTCAAAATCATTTCCTAAAACTTGACTATGAAGTTCCAAAACTGTTAAGGTCACTGAAAACCTGAATGACTTCTAGTTTCGAAAATGGGCTTTAATTTAAGAATTCTCAGCGGAATGAAAAAATGGATGGATCCAGTTTTCTTTATGTAAGATAATTTAGGAAAAAAGTGTCATTCATTAGCAGTTTCGTTACAATTTTCCAGCCATATGCTGGCTATTTTCTTAAATTGGGCTATAAATTGCTACTAGCTTGCAATATTGAGGATCGAATTGGATTAAATGAATTTAGCATATTCGTGGATTCTCTGAACCAGAGACGCTGGGTTGCTAGAAGACAGTAAGTTGAGTGGTCTCGATGTAGTTAAATCATAATCACGCTCATCTCGTGTGTCTTTTCTATCATTGTTTAAGAATATCAAAAGTCTGAAGAGCTATTTTTCCTTGTAAGAATGAAAAGAAGGGATTGTCAAAATTTGAACTCCAAATTCGTAAAATCGGGAAAGCCAAGCGATAATTCAGACAGGGTGCATCTCCATTGAAAAATGTTGGACGGATTTTCTAAAATTGTGTTAATTTCTTTGACTTTTTACGGTCGGGCTCAGATATTCCAAGCTCACTGAAAACCCAATCGTGTTTTTTTTTGAAAAATTCTTTGGCTAAAATGGACTTCGTGTAATGGTACCAATAAAGGGGGGCTCTTTGGGTGGCGAGGGGTGGGATCCTTGAATGGAGGGACGTCCCCCTTCTTGGCCCCTGCGTAATGTACATCTTTTAGAATTTAGCGTTTTGGTTCTTTCTTTGTCGAAGAAAGAAAGAAAGAATTTATTCCTTTGAGTCATTAACGTTAATACAACAAATATTGAAATATTTATTTATCAAATAAGTTTTTAAACCGTTGTCTTAGTAAATTTATGATAATGGATGATAGAAAAAGGCAACAACGATGTTCACTAGACACCTACCGTGAATTAAGCTGGGCTGAAAAGAAAAAAATTGTTTAAAAAATATTTACACTAGCCATCAGCTTAGTGTACTATTACGAACCTTCTTTTTTTCTAACCTAACTCGCAAATAAAAGTGCTCATTAAAATTGTTCACTTAATTGATAATTTCACTGTAGCATTGGAAATTGCATAGCATCTGTTCTCTGCTTTATTTGTGGCTAGTGTTTGGTGCATATTAAGCGTCTGTGGCGATGTGGTTAGAGTCTAAGATTTAATTCCTAGGTCGCAGGTTCGAATCTCAGACGGAGCCGAATTGTAACTAATTCGAAGCGTATTTCTAATTGTTCTTATTGCGCTTTATAGAGCTGCTTTTTGTCGTGTACTCGCTAGTGCTTGCAAGCGAAGCTTCGCCTCTGTGCAAAAAAAAATAAAACTTAGTTTTTTGACACGAATTGTGTGAAAATGCTTGTTTAATTTAGTTATTTCAATTCATTAGCTTATACGAGTTTGTTTGAGGCCATTTATCAAACAATCCAGCTTATTTAACAAAACCTTTTTTCTCCTTTTTAAAGTGTTTTGAAAATCTCAAGAAAATCATAAAAATTGCCATATCTTGTAAGCTGAAAAGATCTGTGCAAAGTTTGAGGCTATTTAAGCTTAAAAGTGAAAAAAAATTCATTGAAGTCTTTCTTTTTCTAAGTTAATATTTCCTAGTTTATAATTGTCGATGAGTTTACAAATAAATTATGATCGTGTTCCGACATGCTTACCATAGTTTTGGTTTTTATCCCTAATTTTGTTTAGCAAGTAGGATTAATACTTGTAGTTTCTTCGCACTAAGTGCGAAAAAACTATAGAGCAGGGTGTTTTTTTTTCTCCTGATTTTGGTTACACCGAGGAAAGGTTGTATGATATCTTTTGAAAGCCATAGTAATCGTTATTTGTGTTCCAAAAAAAACTTGGCTGGGCTGTTCAGACAATAATTTAGGCAGGTTGGTAATTTTGTTCGTTTTTATTTGTTTTTCTTTATAATTACAAAAGTAATAGGAACATTCAGTTCTACTTGCGCAGCAACAGTCTCTCCTTTTGGTTACTTTGAATCTACTAATTGACTTTGTTTTTGCTGAAAACAGAGCCGCCATGGTTCAACCCCAACCAAGGCCGCCCAGGTACAACAGCTCCGGAACAGGACAGACCTCGACAGCCAATCAGAATCAACAGCCAGTGAGCGATCACAATCATACAACGAATACACTTAATTTGACTTCGTCGACGACAGATTTGAGCCGAATAGCGGGCGAGAAGGTGATTCATATTGCATAGAGAAAATGTTGTTATTGTAAATGATAATCCTGTGATAACGCCAGTTTGTAGCACAACATGCGAGCTCAGTTGTCGATAACAAGCCTTTTTGATCATTGATTTGGACAAACATAGGTCGGGTGGTTTCGAACCGCCGACAATTCGAGTAAGAGGCGGATTCATTAGCTATTTCACGTGACTGTACAGGCTCGGGATGGTCTGAAGGTATGGGCTCATACTGTATTATCATAGTTGGCGATTTGTGCATTTAGGTCTCATATCTGCAGAGAATCAATTCTGGCAGTGCGCACATGAGACTACAACAACAACAACAACAACAGCAGCAGCAGAACTTGAACAACAGCAGTGCTACTGGTGGTCAGTCAGTGGATTGTGCCAAACAGACTGACGCTTCCACGAACCATAGAATGGGTGCCAAACGTTAGTAATCCGACTCTTTAATGGATAACGAGTATAGTGTTGCGCAGGAGCTTAAAATATGTTGCAAAGACTTCCTATATGTTTACACTTGAGATTAGCGAGCGTCATCTAATCGGAATTAGACTTTTTTCGGTATAACAACCAGTTTAACAAAATCAGTTCAATCACTATGCAGCTTATATGCTCAATTTCATTACACTTGCGAGCAGCGTAGTGTATTAGTACGACCCTTCTTGTTTCCTAACCTAACTCGCATATAAAAGTGTTCACTAAAATTGTTAACTTATTTCGTGGCATTTTTGCTATAATCACGATCGTTAGCATTTCATAGCATCTGTTCTCTGCTTTATTTGTGGCTGATGTTTGTATTAATTAAGCGTCCGGGGCTGAGTCGTTAGTGTGTGAGACTCATAATCTCTAGGTCGCAGATTGAATCCGAGACTTAGCCGAGTTTTTACCAATTCGAGGCATATTTATACTTGCACATTATAGAGCTGTTTTTTGTCGTGTTCTCGATAATGTTTGCTGAGTGAAGCTTCGCCTCTTTGTGGAAATTAGAATTTAAGTACTGCGTGTGTGATAGTTCCTACAGGGTAGTTTTGGAGGTGTTTTTTCAGTAATGAACGTAGTGAAGACTCATATAGGTCTTGCTGATTTTTTTTGTTTTTTTTTAGGCAAAAGTCTTAAAATATTGATGCACTTAGGTCTAATGCACTTTTGAGTTCGATTGAAATTCATCTGCTAAAAGTGACGTGAATAGCACTCTCCAAATACGAACGTGGAAATGGTGCGAAAAACCTGAACGATTTCTAGTTCCGAAAGTGGAATTTATTTTAAGATTTCCCAGCGGAATATTAACTTAACCTATTGATCCAGTTTTCTCAAGTTGGGTTTTAATTTTACAAAATCAGTTGTTTTTCCGGCTCAACTGGTGTCTGCTCAAAGATTGCTGGCCTTGTTTCCGCTTCAGTTTTGTTCAGTTGCTAATTTCATATGTGTTGCTTGGCATGTTTACCCAGGATTCATGTTTGTTAAAAACAGTATTATGAAAGTAAATGGGATTGGGTTTTTTATTTTATTGTTTTGAGACGCTTTGGAAAATTTACTCTTTTTGCCAAGAAATAAGTTTCTCAAAAACTTTTCCGATTTCCAAAAAAAACGTGTCCAAAGAAAGGGTATTCATGTGTGCCTGCATACTCCCCTGGTCTCTTTCTGTTTTACCCCTTTGTCTACAGCCTACGAAAAAGTCTGGGGGGGGGTATGTTTGAGCGATAATAGAAAGGATATAAAATATCCCTGCAAAGCTTCACTGCATTAGCGGCCTGCCGCATTTTATTTACAAAAAGTTATTGTCCTCGGAAAAGCTACGGTCCTTTTGATTTTTGAGCGGTGTTTTAAGTTTTAACCGAAAATAGTCTCTCATATCGTAGATTTTAGATTTAATCCGAAGAACGGGCTGTGAGAAGCTCATTTGCATACACGACTACGCAAAAAAATTGACACAAAAACCTGTGCCCCTCGAAAAATACAAATTTTTGATTTTTTGAACGTTTTTGAAACTTCTCGAGAACTACCCTACCAGTCCTGGATTTTTGGTTTAACAAATTTACAGTTTGGTTGAATCTCTTCTGCATAAGTGGATACGTTTTTTTAAAGCAGAAAGCTTTAATTCTCGGAAATGTCAACTTTCTGATTTGTTGACCGTTTTTTGGATTTTTCTCTAACTATCCTGCCAAATCTGATATCATAAGTTTAATCGACCCCACAGGCTGTTTGAAGCTGACATTTCTAGTTTGCTAGGTCCAAATTTTTTGGAAAAATTTGTTGCGTTCAAACAAATGAAAGTTTTGAAACTTAGACCGTTTTTTCGAAGTTTTTTTTTACTCCACTCGAAAATTACCGTGCCAAATTTCAGGTTAAGTTTTTAATCGAGAAAACCAATTTCTGGACTCTCCTATTCTTTATCGGCCACGAGCTGCTTCAAGCAGAAGTTTTTAAACGGATTTGGCAAAGTCAAGTTTTTGAACTATGACCGTTTTTTTTGGAAAATTTCAAAGATGTTAATTTCAATCTAAACAAGCGATCGATCAAATTTTTCATGCAGAAGTGTCTACTCCCTATTTTTGTCAGAGGATTTGAAAATCTCAAAAAAAATTTTTCCCTTGTCACTTATTTTATTAGAGAAACAATTAAGGTTTTGGTCGAAGTCCTTTTTTCGAAATTACGCAGTTCTTCCCGCATCGGTATAACAAATTCAAAAATATCAAAGACGTATCTCCAGCTTTAGTTGGGCCTTAGGTGTCCTTCATCGAAACATATGAAAATTTAAGTTCACCGTATTTCTTCCAACATTTTTTTTTCGACATGCTTTTTTATGATTATCGCAAGTTGTGCTTCGCTTCTGTATCTACAACAAACTTTGGAAAAGTAAAATTTGAAATTTGAGTCAGTATTTTTTTTTTTTTTTTGCATTCATAAAGCGCTATAAATAGACCCAAATTGGACCAATTTTACTGCGCCGCAGGCAAATTTTTGGAAAAAGGCGTTTGTTGGAAAGTTTCGACCAAAAAATTGCGTTTTTTGGGCACGCGCACATCCCTCAAAATTAGTATAGATTGGCACCGAAGGGGCCTGTAGAAAAGTTTTGAGGGGGACACTTTGTGTCGGCAGTAGGTCAAGTCCCTGAAGGAGGGGGCTTCCGCCCCCCATCTGCTACTGGATTGTGCTATGTGGACACCTTATTGATACTGTGGCATGTTCTATCCGTGTCGCTTCCCTATTTTATCTTGTTCTCTCAAAGTTGAAATGAATCAGAGTTTTTTGGATAAATGTAACTTCTTTTCTCTTTCTTTCCATATGTGAGTTTTTGTAATGTTAAAGACGAGAGGATGAGAACCAAAAAGCCGCAATTTCGGATAGCCAAAGAAATGGTTAAAAGCTGAAAACTTGCATAAAATGCCAATGCTGCGTGAATCTGATTTTGTGTTCATGTTTAAAAGTCGATTCCTCGTTTTTTTAGGAAAAGTCTTGAGTTTTGTTCAGGCTCAGCTCAAATTTACTTTTTTGGGGTTTCACGTAATTTCTTTCAAGTTCAGTTAATTTTTTTTTGATATAAGACATGGCTATCGAACTGCAAAAAGTGAAAGTTGACGTCTAGTTTTGAAAGTAGCGTTTGTTTTTCAGATTTCCCATCGAAATAACAATTTTACGTGTTGATCCAGTTTTCTCAAATTGGGTTAAGTTAATCGAAAAAGTGCCAATCATAGGTTGTTCATGAAATTCAAAGAGCTCTAAGGGCATAATTTTTTTTTTGAATATCGAATGTTGAGATTTTAAAAAATTAAGTCGGTGTTTTTTCTGTTTACTTGCGCTCATTGACTTTTTCCAGCTGACTACTGGCTATATTTATTTTAATGTTCGGCTATCCGGAACCTTTTTTTAGGATCTCTGAGTGTTCGGCTATGTGACACGCCACCAAAAGGAGGATTACGACTATCTATACGGAAATCTTTTTAAAAACTTTTCCCTCTAATTATTCGTTTGCCACTGTACTGTTCTTACCAATACAAAAATGAAGAAATGTTTAGAAAAATAGTTATTTTTTTTTGAATTATTTTATTGTAGACCATTTCGTAGTGCAGAAAGACAATAGATGGGAGGTTGTGGCAGATAGTTCCACCTTAGCCGACAGCTCACTAGACCGAAGCAGTCTACAATTAAACCAAAACCACAGTCAGAATACTAATGCTAACCATAATAAACCACAACAACCTCTGCCGACGGCCCCCTCTCAGACAGATAAGCCAGTTCAACCAGTGAGACCCATGCTCAGAACAGACCACGTCTCGCACAATCAGAACACGAGTCAAAGCGATCACAAAAGCCCACAAGTGAAGACGAAAGACTCGAATAGTAGTTATAATAATAGTCATAATAACAATGCAGTGGTAGTGAAGGTGATGAAAAAACAGTCAGTTGGCAATAGTGAGAGTCACAATTCACAGAAGATGTCGGCCAAAAGAGAACATAGTGATAAAATGGGTGGTGGAAATGTAGCGAATAAGCGCTCCAGTTCTTCAGAGAGTCAGAACACGAACAGTTTGGGTACGCTCATTTTGTTCAGAGTTTAATTTCTATGAATTTTGTTTTGTTCCATCAAAAACAGACACATTTTTTTTTGATTTGATGTTTCTACGATGAAAGCTTTGCGTTAATTGATCGGACCACATCATCTACGAGTTTCCAATATGTCTTTGAAAACGAAGTTTTTGATAATTAAGTTTTTGACTAATGTGAGCATGTTATTCTCATATAAGTTATAAGTTTAATTTATGTCTATCTGGAAAATTAAAATGGGAATTGTTTGTTCAGGAGGCACAAACACGCGTAGCAATACAAGAGCAAAACTTACCTCTAGAAATCAGTCGGTAAATCGCAAATCAACAACTCAATCATCTGCAAGTGGGAAGACAATTAAACAGCAGAGCAACGTGACGAATGGTGGTGAAGTGAGAAAGGGAAAACAGCAGCGACTACCTCTGGCCGACTTGGAACAGATGCACAATCAGACAGATGAGACAGACGTGAACAACAACAGGTGAAATAAGAAAGGGATAGTCCCTCATAACTGAAGGGTAAATGACAGAAAATTATATTGGCCCATCAGAGTTGACCATTCAAGTCTATATTCAAGCTAAAGATATTAACAAAGGGAATAAACTGAACTTAAATTCAAAACTTAGTCGAACCGCGAAAATTGAAATTTCAGCGTTAACAAATTTTAACTTAAAAAAACAGTACTTGTTCACGCCGAAATTCGAAATTTCTTAGTGTGACTTTTCATTTCTTTCAGTTTCAGTTCATTTGTCTAAAGGAAGCAAACTCCACTATCAAACAGCGGAAGTGTAATGATCAATAAAAACGTGATCTATATTCGAAAGTGGATTTTAATGTTCAGATTTCCCTTCGGAATCAAAACTTTAACTATTGATCAAGTTTTCTCAATTTGAGTTAATTCATTTAAAAAGTGCCAGATTTATTGCGTGAAAGTTCAAGCGCTTTAAGGCCTTTCATTTTTTGCTTTGAAACTCAAAGGTTGAAGTTTTTCCTAAAAAACCTTCAGTTTTTTTTTCATTTCCTTGGATTTGTTCACTTCTTTTACTTTTTGGTGTAGGCGAAGCATCTTTGGTGTAGGTGAAGCTGTGTTGTAACATATGTGTATTGCTTTAGTGTGATGATAGCTCCCATGGGCAAGGATAGATTGTCAAGACCGGATCTGAAGTCGAATGGGAGAGGTTTCTCCCGAGCGAGGAGTTCTACAAGAGAGAACAGCAGGGCAGATGACAGCATCAACAGAGACCGAGACAACTCCTCCTCTCTTGTGCCTGCCGCTGCCACTACCCTCAGAAAACACAGGTAATTTTTTTTTTGCAGTCTTTTTTTTCTGTTCACTTGAAGCTCAGCAAAATTACGGAACAAAGATTACACTCTCCCTTAACAAAAGTGCAAATGGCGGTAACGTCTATGTATAGGGCGACAAAGGTCCGGAGGTCGAATCTGACCAGGAAATGTTTGTTTTCGAAAAATCCAAAAAAAAAATCATTTTGAAATAACATTGTCAGCTTTTATCGTTCACTGATTTTTTGTCGGCTCAGTTGCAACTACAGCGCGGTATTTTATTTTGATCAAGCGTTTTTCCGATTTAAGGTTTTTGTTTTGGTTTATATGATATCAATTTATTTATCTATTATTGCTTTGCTTAACTCAAAAATAGTTTATGATTACACTTGCGAGCTTTAGAGAGCGTAGTGTTGTAGTACGGCTGTTCTTATTTCCTACCTAAATCGCAAATATTGGCGCCACTTTTGGTGACACCTTTACGGTTATGATAGAATGTGATTTCACATTCAATTAGTACTAAGTTAACACAGTGGAATCATTTTAAATTCATCAAACGAACGTCAAAACTTTAATTGTTTCAAACAACAGTACAATTAAAAAAAACTTGATTTCAGAATTTTTTTTTTGCAACTCAATATATACAACTTTCAAAATTCATAATTTATACATAATTGGGCTCCATGCTTTCCAATTTATATCGTGAAAATGTAGTGTGGAGGCCTTCAGCTTGTTATATTCCGTATTAATACATGCAAAATTGTGTCTATTTGCATTTGACGCCACTTTTGCTGCATCGCGTTGGTAATTGATTAGAATATGTAGCTGCTTTATTTGTGACTAGTGTTTGTTGATAGTTATGCTTCTCGCCGAGCGTTTTCTTTTGTTCTCGCTAGTGTTGCGAAGCGCAGCTCAGCCTCTGTTTCATTTGTTTCCCTATGGGGAGGGGGTTCATGTCTCAAAACGTTATAGTTCAAATGTTTTTGACAAAATATTTGTTTTCGGCTCAGCTGGCGTCAACATAACTTTTTGTCAGCTTCGTTACCGTTTAATGATTTTTTTGGAATGCTTAATTAACGCCGGCGATTGTTTCTTGGTATGTTTTCTCTTCAAATTGAACAATCATGCCAATCATAATATGTGCTCGAAGTTCAAAGAGATACAATGCCTTTTTCGCTGTTTGACCTTTGGTATCTTTTGAAGTTCATTTCCTTTTTAGAAGGAGGGCAAATTCCACTATCGACAGCAAAAACGTAAAAGTCACGGAAAACTTTATTTTCCGGTTTGCTATGTTTCTTATACCGTCCGAAATATATTGTTGTCTTTCTTTCTTTGAACCAATAGGGTCGGAACCTTATTTTCTACTGGCGCAGCAACTGTTTATTCTTGTTTTCTTTGAAATTTGAATGTATTTACAGAAGATTTGAAATAGTCTTTCAATATTCTTGAGGTTTTGACATCTTCTTGCAATGTTTCGTTGTTTGTCTCATCAAAATTGAGTTAACATAGGAATACAATCGGATCCAAATAAGGGTTTTGATGATAATAATTGTTTAACTGGCATTAAAGGTATTCTGTGCACAATCGTAATGCGACAACTCGCAACAATAGACAACTCGTAATATAAGACAACTAGCATTAAAAACAACAACTCGCTACAAACTCACCTCCGCAGTCCCGCCATTTTTTGCGAGCTTGCCAACAGAAGATAGGACTTCAAACGAAGTTTATAGTCGGTTATCGCCGCAACCCGCGCGCAGCGCCCCCTTTGGCTGCGTAATTTGTAAATTAATTTTCGAACTTTGGGAGTTCTCGTTTTCATTAGATTTTGCAAGTTGTCTTTGTTTGCGAGATGTATTTTGTTGCGAGATGTATTTTGATGAGAGTTTTATTTTGTTGCGAGTTTTTGCTTTACTGATCAAGATCACTTTTGAGTTTAAAAACAGTTAGATGCGTAAATATGGATTTTTTTGAACCTGTAAGAAGTTTAACTGCCTTGCCTTTATTTATGATGTATTACAGTCGCCGTTGGCGTCAATATAATCTAATGAACCCACGGTACCTTCTAACGGTATTGCAATCGGGTACTAGAATTTTTTCCCGTAATAAAATTCACAAGATGAGCTCCAATTCAGCACTTTGCACGGTTAACGCCTCGAATTTAAGTGCTTAAAATTAATGCGTTACTGCATCTACTGGTAATAAAAATTTCATCTTTTATTGTTTTTTTTTGTAGGCTTAATTGATTTGGACCCAAATTTTGTCGGCTTGTTTGCCGGTTGTTGTCTTTTGAAAATTCTCTTCAATTTCTTATTAAATTCAATTCGATGAAAGGTTTTTTGATACACGTTTTTTAACATGCTTTTTTGTGCACACTCTAACTTTCAGTTTGAAAAGAAAAAGCTTTTAGGTGATTTTTTGTTTCATTTTCTAAAAAATATTATTTTTCAGTTTTCTTTCTAATGCAGGGTTTCTGATTGTAACTTCAAATTCAGTCAACCATCCGACGCATGTGTCATAGAGGTAACACACTTGCTTGTGACGGCAAATTTCTGTGGCTCGAATCCGACCGGGACCTGTTTTTTAAAAACTTGATTTTTTGTGCTTCAGGCTATCGCCCCTCTGCCTTTTTGTCGGCTTGATTCCCGTAGCCCGATTTTTCTGAAGTTTCAGCTTCCTTCTAAGTTGCTGTAACACCCCTGCTTGAGACGAAAGAGCCCAGGAGTTCGAATTCAGTCGGGACCTGTTTTGAAATTTGAAAACTTTCGGCTGTTTTAGATTTTAGTGTCTGCTTATTTTTGTTTTCTTAGTTCCCACAGAAAGGAGTTTTTTGAAAGTTCGACTTCTTTCTAGCATTCGGAAAGCATGTTATTGATAGTAGTTGTGTAGTTTCTGATAGAAGCATTTTCCGAATTTGTTCTTGACAATATGCAAGATTCTGTACTGATCGTTATAAAATCGGATTAGAAGCTTTTTTCAACGTTGAGGACAGAAATCACGTAATTCATTCAATTCGAATTCCACGTCTTATGTGGCTCTCTTAGCGTACCGGTAACGTCTATGTACAGGGTTATAAAGGTCCGGAGTTCGATATAAAGGTCCCCCTCCCCCTGTGCGCGATCTTCTTCTAACCTAACTGGCAAATGAAATTAAAAGTGTTCACTTATTTGGAAAATTCAGTGTAGCATGGAAATTGCATAGCATCTATTCTCTGCTTTTGTTTGTGGCTAGTGTTTGTTACCTATTAGCGTCCGTGGCTAAGTGGTTAGTGCGTGAGACTCAAAATCTCTTGGTCGCAGGTTCGATTCCGAGATGTTGCAGAATTTTTACCAGTTCGAGGCTTATTTCTAACTTTTTATTGCACTTTATAGAGCTGCGTTCTCGCTAGTGTTTGCGAAGCTTCGCTAGTGTGTCATTAATGTTTTTCGATGGGGAGGAGTGTCATATTTCAAAACGTTACAGCTCAAATTTTTACAGCAAAATTTTTGTTTTTGGCTCAAATGGCTTCTTCACAAATTTTTGTCAGCTTCTTTGCCGCTGAATGAATTTTTTCAAAAAAGCTTAATTAAAGCCGGCGATTGTTTTTGCCATCATTCGCTTCTTTTGCAGATTTAGTTTTCTTCAAATAATTACTTCGAGTTTTCCGGTTTTTTGCTCTGAGTATTAGCTTACAATGCTATGTTTGTGTGTTATAACAAGTGTTGAAAGCTCTGCCTCACCTCTGTGGTTAAAGCTGCCCTAAATTCTGTTTAATTTGTCCTAATTGCTTCATTTTTTGTCCTAATTGGTCCGTCTTGTATTCAGTCAACTTAGTATCCTATCTTAGTCCTAGTGCATCGTAGTATTCATCAACTCAATTATATTTTTTCTTCGACTGCGCTATATATGACGATGCGAAAGCTGTTTTGGTAATTTTTGGCGATTGAGAATTATTTGGTTTTTGGGGTTGTTTTTGTTATTATCAATGGTTTTGCCACATCGTTTTTGTAAGTTTTTTCGGTTTTTTTTCTTTAAAAAACTTACGAGATGTGGACGGAAAAACTTTTTTGTTTTGTTTTTTTTTCTCAGGAAAAAGTCTTAAAATGCTCTAATAATTACAGATGTGCATTCATACATATTAATGCATTTATTAATGCACTTAGGTATAGATGCTTTTTTTGGGTTCAATTGAAATTGATCTTGTGAAAGTTACGTAAAAAGTACTCTCCGATTTTGAACGTAGAAATAGCGCAAAAAAACATGAACAATTTCTAATTTTGACAAGTGGAATTGAATTTCAAGATTTCCAGCTGAATAAAAACTGTACATATTGATCCAGTCTTTTCTTGCTGGGTTAATATTATCAAAAAAGCGCCGATAATAATTTGTTCTAGAAATTCGAAGAGCTTAAAGAGCATCATTTTTTGTTTACTTGCGTTCATTACACTTTTCCAACTGTCGGTCGGCTATGTTATATAGATATTGGTTATTTTTTTGTTTCTTCGTTTTTTGTATCCGCTAAAATTGGATTTTTTTGCGGTATGACATTTGATTAAGAGTGATGAACGTAGTGAGTACTCTTATATAGGTCTTGCTGATTTTTTTTTCAGGAAAAAGTCTTCAAAATTTGTTAACGCTTTATTTTAATTTTAAGCGGTTTGACTTGTGGTTTATTTTTAAGTTCAGTGCATTTCTATTGTTAAAAGGCAGGCAAACTCCACTATCTAACAGCAAAATAGTAAAGGTCATGAAAAACGTGATCGACCTCTTAGTTCGAAAATGGAAATGAAATATCAGATTTCCCAGCGAAATAAAATTTTTATCTGTTGATCCAGTTTGCTCAAATTGGGTTAATTTTAATAAAAAAAGTGTTCATCGTAAATTTTTCTACAGATTCGAAGAGCTTTAAGGCCATATTTTTTCTTCGAAAATCAAAAGTTGGAGATTTTTGAAAAAAAAAAACAAGTCGTTTTTGTTGTTTTCTTGCGTTCGTTACTCTTTTTCCAACTGTCAGTCGACTATGTTTTCTTTTTAAGTTC